TTTTTGTTGTTTTGTTTTTTAAAAAAATAATAGCATCCCAATGGGTGTGAGGTGGTATCTCTTTGTGGCTTTGGTTTGCATCTTCGATGGTGATGTGGAGCACCTCTTCATGCATGTGGCCTATTTGTATATACCCTCGTTGAGTGGCACCTGTTCTTTTAAAGTACAGCTTAAGCATTCATAGAAGTGCCATTCCTTTATGAGTAGTGGAAACACAAATCAGATACCTGATATTTTTGGAAATTCTGTAGTGACATGCACAACCTACAGTGTGAGAGTCCCGTAAGGACTGAAGAGAGGAATGGGGTTACAAAATAAGCACATTCATCAGAAAGAGACTTCTGACAACTGTAAAGTCTCATTTGACACCCAGACCTGTCATTGAAGAGGATATCTTAACGACATTAGGTAACTGGAGTCAATATTCCAGCAGTCTTCAGATAAATAAAGTGGCATGATAGCCAAGACTAGTTGTCAAAATAGTGCATCCTGGCATTTGGCCCACATGAAGTAGGAATTGGAGGTCTCCAGAAGCCACAGATTGGGTGTGAAATAATAGCATGAAACCCTACCATCCCTTTCGTGTTGAATAATTCACATAAATGCTTCCAGTTTCCATTTAGGTCCTAGTAAGAATTTTCTCTTGTTATGCATGTGGTATCTTATGAGCTTACTGTTGACCAAAAGTGACATATATTATTTTAACAGGTTAATATTTAGGATTGTCTTTTCTTCATTCTGTTTTTAGCTGTGGGCATTGCTAATGGTAGAATTTCATAATTTCTTCTATAGGAGATAAAATACAAGAGTATTGTGTCTCTGCCAAATACTGTAGAGAGGCTTCTCATCTCAGTGCTTTCCTGCTAATCGTAGGAACTTCATGTCACCACTGCCTTGGAGACCAAAGAGAAATATCTTTTGATATTAAGAGCTTTTTCATCCCCAGCTCTCATGCTCTATCCCTTGGATCCACTTGTCAGAAGTACAGCCCATCCAGTAAGCTATTTAAATGAGTGTAAAAAGGAAATAAGTTACAGATAATAAGTCTCGTGTTATTTGGATAGTCTAGGACAAATTTAAAGCCATTTTTCTTTGCAGATCCTAATTTATACTTTCTTATAGCCATAAACTTGAAGATCCCTAAGGCCTCATAGTCCTCCACCTGTTTTAGGTTCAGCCCTCTGTTGATTTATTTCATACTATAAGATCCAGGAATGAATTCTGGGACCAGGACTTTTGCCAAAGTATTGTGAACTGATTAGTTACTAGGTAATTTTTTTAAGGTAAAAATAACTAGACCTTGGGAGTGGGGTGATAGGAAGAAGAGAAAATAATTTCTTTACAACAGTTTTTAATTGCTGTGAAGTATTCTGCTATATTAGTGCTGTATAATTTGCTAAATCTATTTGGGAGCATTTAAGTTGTTTGCAGTTTTTTTGTTGTTATAAATGACATTGTGTATACATTCTGATAATTTTTTTAAATGTACACATTTTTACAATTTAACATATAAGCATTTTCCTATGTCACTGAAAGTTTTTTTTCTTCATTTTAAACAAGAAGTTTATTTAAACAAGTTGCTTGACTAGAAGGGAAAACTGTCTACGATTCACTTTTAGAGTAATTTATACCTACTGAGAGAGAGAATGCCCTACATGTAACAGCTACATACATAAAAGTTATAAAATTGTCCTTGGTTTTACAATGATAAATAAAAAACATTAAAATTCTCCAATCAAACAAGGTGTGCAAGATTTTTTATGTCCTTTTTTGTTGTTGTGAAACAGAGAAAAGTAACTTACTTGGAAGATAGCTAAGTGCTGGGTGAGCATGCCACTAATGGAGAAAGGGGGGTTTATTCACAGAGCCGGTATTTTTCCCCATTTCCATCTTCATTTGATGTTGATCAAACATACTATTGGCCATTTAGTTAAAAAAAAATGTAGCATGCTTGTATACATAGTTACCTTATGTACAGTAAAGAAATGGGGGAGGGGAAAATGAAAGAATAGATAAAACTGTACTCTAGTAGTCAGGATGTGGTGGAACCAAATTGTGGTTTTCTAATTACAAATGCCTTCTTGGTCTGTTGGCACCGAGTTCTGGAGTACAGTAGCAGGTTCCCTTTTAGTAGACACCTTGTCTGCAGCTGGAACACATCAGTGGTATTTTCACCCTCCATTTCCAGCTGTGCAGGTCTGTCTGTTGCACTGATTGGCTGCCTGTCAAGTCAGAATCTGATCTGCCTCATTGACAAACCCTGTGGGTTCACAGTAGGCTTTCGTTAGTTTACTAAGTGGTGTGCCTCTTAATCTTAAACGTGCACCACAGAGACATCCTGACCCGCCACCTTCACATTAATATGATCGTTGTTCTTCATCTTGGCTCCCTCCGCTCACTTTTCATCAGCCATGGCAAGTGCCTGAGTTTCCTCAGCTGCCACTTCACAAAAGAGGCACCAGGTCCACACCGAATGAGCCACAAGCAGCACTGGGAGAGGAGGAAGGAGTTCATTTTATCTACATGTCATATGCTGACATGGAAATAGCATTTTATTTTTCTTTTGATACTTTCCAAAATCTCAGAGGAAATTTGTTTTTTGTGAATAGGTCACAAAAACCTCCTCTGGCATATATGTGTTTTATAATATGAGCAATAAAACAATCATCTGACCAACTCTTGTACAAATCCAAGTACAATATAAACTGTCAGAAATTGAGAATAGCAAGGGTTAAATAGGATGAAGGTCTTCAGCAAACATTTGTGTTTTATCCATGTGTTGGATCTCAAGCCCATCCTTAGAACTAAGATACTGGACACTCTTAATTAGTAACTCCAAGCTGGGTACAGCATTCACATTCTGTGACTCTCTATATTTGTCATTTAAAAACAAACAAGACAAAAACCCCACAAACATACAAACAACAAAAAGAAAACAACTCAAAAGCCTGGGGTAAGGATGATGAGCCAGAGGGGAAGCAGGGGTAACTATTGAAGGAATTAGGAGCTCTTAAGCTGCCGGAGTAAATGGATTCCTTTGGTGTAACCTATGTTTTCATCTGGTAATTTATTTTATGAGTTCAGCCACTCTTGGTAGTGAAATTGATGCTACATCAAAATTCATGGTAGTAAATTAATATTAAGAGAAGATAATGGAGATGAAAATGTTTTAATGTTGTAAAACTAAGTTTTGATGATGAAGTTTCCCAAGTGTGGTTAATTTCATTGTATTGCTGTCCATCCATCATAGCTTGTGTGCCCAAAGAGGTTTTTTAATACTTTTCAATTTGAATTTGAATACTCTTGAGTTTGAATTTAAGTACTTCTCAGCACCTAAAGTAACCAAAATCTCTCAGCTGTTGTAATATAAAGCTGTGGAATGTGTATGTAATCTTGATTTGTATTGTGTTAGTTCTTTTTTAATTGACTTCTGCATTCTGTTCCATTATTTTTATAGCCATTATGTACTTTTAACAATGTTCTTTATGGGTTAAAAAATGGAAATTTTTTTAAATTTTGTTATCAAAGTATCATTGGTATACAGTGTTATGCTGGTTTCAGATACACAACAAGATGGTTCAACATTTACCCATATTTTCAAGTCCTCACCCCCTCCAGTGTGGTCACTGTCCATCACAGTAAGATGCTGCAGGATCGTTAACTATTCTCCATGCTGTACTACCGTCCCCCTGATTGCAAATTATTGTGCCTCTTAATCCCCTTCCTCCTCTCCCCTCCCTCTCCCAAACCCCTCCCCCTTGGTAACACTAGTCCCTTCTCTGTCTCTGAGTTTACTGCTATTTTGTTCCTCCTGCAAAAATGGAAATCTGAAAGAAGGAAATAAAAATCACTAACAGTCATCCCCTGCCATAGCACAACTTAGTAGGTTTATATATTCTCTTTTGTATCAGGCCAAAAGCACACATTTCAAAATTTTTAAAGTTGTGCATAATGCATTATTATAAATTGCAATAATAGCTAACATTTCAAATACTTAGTATGTCTAAACATATTTCTAAGTGTTCACATAGAATAAATGAAATAGATACAATTATCTCTATTTTACAGATGAGAAAACATAGTTAAAAAAGAGAATACATGACTTAACTAAGGTACATTTAGTGAATGGCAAATAACATCTAGTGAATGGTAAATATACTAAATTTACCCCAGTCCTCCTGCTCCCTAACTACTATTAGTGGTAAACTTTTTGTCAAGTTCTCTTTTTTTTAAGATAGTACTTTGTTGTACAAAAACTGCCTTATTTTTGGTAGCCATTAGACAACTATTTTAATCATTTTGGAGTCACAAACTCCTTTGAAAACCTCATGAAAGTTGTAGATTTTTTTCCCCAGAAAAATGCATTGTACACTAATTTTGACATAAAATTTCAATCTGGTCAATTACTTCTTGAAGCTGATTAGTGGAATCTAAAATAGTAGTTATCAAATTTTAATAATCATATAAATCAGTTGGGTTGCTTATTAAAATGCAGATTACCTGATCTTACTGCCTAAAATCTAGAATTGGATTTAGAATCTGCTCTTTTAAATACTCCTAATGATCTGGATAAGAGGATGTTTTAAGAGCACTGTATTCAAAACTCTGTCCTGAAATAAAGAATCTTGTTACTCCAGTGCTGTTTTAGAGTTGCTACTACAGTATATGCACTGTTTTAAAAAGGTCCTTATTGTCAAATGATTGTACAGTATTACAATTGCTATTAAAAATTCTGATGATGACAATCAATGCGTGTTATCTTAAAATTTTCTATTTAGAAGAATCTCATCTATGTCTGGAAAAATAGTTTTCTTAAATATTTCCCAGTTATTTGAAAATAGTCTGAGAGATTATTTTATTGGCTTACTTTGGTAATCACTGACTATTCCTGTTTTTTCAATAGCATTCTCTCTTGTCAAGTTTATTTCATAGCCCACTTTAAAATGATTTAAGGTAAATTCCATGTTTAAAATTTTTCCTATAATTATTTTTATGTGTAGGATGAACTTTCTGATGTTAGCCAAGGAGGATCTAAAGCTACCACTCCAGCGTCAACAGCTGCTTCAGATGTGGCAGCAATTCCTGTTGATACTCCCTTAAAAGAGGACAATGACGGATTTGTGAAGGGTGCAGACACACCAAATAAGTCAGAGATAAACAAACATATTGAAGTACAGGTAGCCCAAGAAACTAGAAATGTATCAACAGGTAACTGGCTCTAGTTCTTTACTTACTGGCAAAGTAGTCAATAAATCCAGCTGATGTGGGTATGGGAAGATACATCTTTGGGATGTTTCTGCTTTAGATTTATACAATTTATTCCATTGTAAATTGAATTACAAAGCTTAAAAGAGGTGATGATTCAATAAAGTTTTGGAGACAGAAATTTGGGGGGCTGTAGGGTAGAGAGTCTGAAAAGTCAGGAGGGCAGTCCTTTTCTGTCCCTTGCCGAAGGCCATTAGTCTTTGTTTTTAATTTCTCTATATTCTGTCCTTTAAATAGGAGTGAAAACAGGGAGTTCTAGCCTGGGATACACTACACTGTGTCTCAGGAAACACAAATGAAAATTTTCTTTAGTCACTTACCAGTTCCTGATACTGACTGTTGATTGACTATATGACATATTACCCAACACTTTATTTCCTAGAATTCAGTCTTTTAAATTTTTTAATGATCAAATGATGTATTTACAACCATAGAAGCAATAGGATTTTCATATTAGGAGCAGTATATGATATATGCATTATTTATGTCATCTTGTCCTTTGCTAAGGCTCTGCTGAAAATGAAGAGAAGTCAGAAGTACAAGCAATCATTGAATCCACTCCTGAGTTGGATATGGACAAAGATCTCAGTGGATATAAAGGCTCAAGGTACTGTAAATGACAGATGAAGACATTTATCCTTCCTTTTTCCCTTTCCCAGAAGCACCCTGTTGTCTGGTCTGGGACCAGGCAAACTGTATTAAAATGTTCTGTTGAAGAAATGTTGGTGTTATATTCCAGTTTTTATTCTTGAAAGTGGAAATTGTACAGCATTTAAATGTTTTGTAAAATGTTACCTTTGCAGCATTAGGTATTAGGAGTATATGGAAGGATAAGGAAAAAGACAGCCAAGGGGTATACCATACTTTCTGGAGGCAGAGGAAACAACCAGGAGTGGGGAAGTAACGATTTGAATAGAATTTGATCCTTCTTCTGGATCAAGAAGAGACTATTCTCCCTTCAAAACTGTAATGATCTCATTATTGGAAAGAATTAGTTGCATTTTAGTATCATTTTATGTGGAGAAGCTGTTAGGTGGTGGGAAGGTAATGGTTATATATCATCTTAATTAAGGTCTGAAATACATAAGTGTTCAGGAATGTCACATGGGAGCTGCTGCTTTTCTTTTTAATTTCTTCCATAAATGTTATCCTTTCATGAATTAATAATGACTATAAAAATACATGCCATTTATTGATCACTGTTAGACATTGTGCAGTATGCAGTAGTGGTGAAAGCATGAGCCTAGAGTAAGACTATGTGGTTTCAAATTCTGCCTTGAGTTTGAATCTGAGGTAAGTTTCCTTATCCATAAAAGGGAATCACAATAGTACCTCAGATGGTGGTGAGAGGCAAATGAATTATTACATGTTAAATCACTGGCAAAAGGCCCAGTGCAATAAATGTTAGCTAATACTGTTACCATCATTATTTATTTATTATTATTTTATTAATTACAACCTTAATGAGGTAGATGTGTTCATCCCCATTCTGTAGATGAGGAGGCTCAGAATTATATAGTGACTTGTCTGAGATTTCCAAGAGGTAGAGCTGGGATTCAGCCTAGGACTCTCATTTCAAAGGCTCTGTCCTGTTAAATATATTTTTCCTGTATTATTTTATTTAAACAATGCAGAGTGTAAAAAGTAAGTTTTGCTTATTCATCCTTTTGTAAGCCTAGGAGCTTCCACTACTTTTTTGTTTTATTTGTTTGTTTGTTTGTTTGTTTGTTTTTATTAAGATAGTATTGATATACACTCTTAATGAAGGCTTCACATGAAAAAACAATGTGCTTACTACATTCACCCATATTATTGAGTTCCCCCACACACCCAATTGCAGTCACTGTCCATCAGTGTAGTAAGATGCCACAGAGTAACTACTTGTCTTTGTGCTACACTGTCTTCCCCATGATCTCCCCCATGCCATGTGTGCCAATCATAATACCCCTCAATCCCCTTCTCCCTCCCTCCCTACCCGGCCTCTCATATCCCTCCCCTTTGGTAACCGCTAGTCCCTTCTTGGAGTCTGAGTCTGCTGCTGTTTTGGTCCTTCAGTTTTGCTTCTCTGTGACACTCCACAAATGAGGGAAATCATTTGTTATTTGTCTTTCTCCACCTGACTTATTTCACTGAGCATAATATCTTCCAGCTCCATCCATGTTGTTGGAAATGGTAGGATTTATTTCTTATGGATGAATAATATTCCATTGTGCATATGTATCACATCTTCTTTATCCATTCATCTACTGATGGACACTTAGGTTGCTTCCATATCTTGGCTATTGTAAATAGTGCTGCAATAAACATAGGGGTGCATATGTCTTTTGAATCTGAGAAATTATATTCTTTGGGTAAATTCCCAAGAGTGGAATTCCTGGGTCAAATGGTATTTCTATTTTTAGTTTTTTGAGGAACCTCCATATTACTTTCCACAATGATTGAACTAGCTTACATTCCCACCAGCAGTGTACAAGGGTTCCCCTTTCTCTGCAGCCTCGCCAGCATTTGTTGTTCATAGTCTTTTTTGATACTGGCCATCCTAACTGGTGCGAGGTGATATTTCATTGTGGCTTTAATTTGCATTTCCCTGATAATTAGTGATGTGTAGAGCATCTTTTCATGTGCCTGTTGGCCATCTGAATTTCTTTGGAGAATTGTCTGTTCATATCCTCTGCCCATTTTTTAATTGGGTTATTTGCTTTTTGATTGTTGAGGCATGTGAGTTCTTTATATATTTTGGATGTTAACGCCTGCTTCCACTACTTATTAACAGGTATGTTTTTGTCATTCTGAACCTCTTTTTAAAAATTAACAAAATATTTTTATCAGACAAATACATGTATGCAGTATTAAGGAAAGTATGATAATAATACAAAATATGAAGGGCAATAGTAATCCCTTGCCCCTACCATCCCTCATTCCCTCTTTCAGAGGTAATCTTTATCTCTTCTTAGTTCTTTTTTGTTATTTATCTTTGGGTATCGAAATCACACCTTTATGCGGCTATTCCTTGATGCCTTTTTCTCAGCTGGGATTCTTTGAGAAAAAATATTAAGTCCTAACACCCAGTGGCATCCCTTGTATATAATAAATTAGGTACCCTCCTGTGCATCTAGCATAGTACTAGCTGTTTACCTTCTTTGGGAAATTGGGAAGATAGCCTCTCTATCATTTTCTGTATTCTGTGGATGAAATGAGGAACACTGGTTTAAAAAGGGCTGTGACTTTAGCTATTGACTTTGCAGTGGAAGATGACAAGCATATAGCTCCTTCAACCACCATCCTTCCTTTAATCCTCCTAGTATGTATCTCAGTTTTGTTAACATTTATGAATAATAAATATTATACATAGTATGCTATAAATACTTACACAGCTTAGCCATAGACTATACATACTGTGATTATACATCCTTTCTTTTGCAACTTTTTTCTGGAATTAGTAAAGCCTTGGGGTTTTTTTTTTGTTTGTTTTGCTTTGTTTAGGTTTCTATGTATTTAATAGATACTCTTCATGGAGATACCCTAAACGTTCTCAAAATGGCCAAACATAAAACCAAGTTTCCCGACACACAGTCCTGTGGCCTTCTGTTCCCATTCTCTAATACAGACTATTGTTGTGTTTGCTCTGGTCTTAGAATGTGCCCTTACTCTTGTGTCAAGATTCTCTTTATCTCTCACCTCTGTTGGTTGTATCTTCTGTTTTCTGGATCCCATGTCATCTTGCTTTTTGATTTATGCCTTCATTTTTTTTATTATTAAAATGATGTTTTTTCCTGATTGCTACCAGTCCTGCGCCTGGTGGCTGCACCCACAGGTAGAGTAAGCTGGGCTTGAGTCCTCTAGTGAGGCTGTTGGTTAACCACAGTGCCTGAACAGACAAGGTCTAAAAGCTTGGCAATTCTTTCCCAAACTGGAAATTCCACCCTCCAATTTTTAAATCAGAAAAGCATCTTCCCGTTTGTCTTTATTTTGACACTACATATTCTTACTTTCTGGGCAAAGGCTGCAAGGGAAGTAAATTTTTTGAGAACTTGATTGTGACAAATGTCATTTGAAGACATAATTGATAGTTTGGCTAGCTATAGAATTCTGGGTTGGAAAAGTGTCAGAAGTTTTCCTTCAGGATTGTGAAGACAGCACTTCATTGTCATGATGAGGTTGGAGTATTGCCATTTGGGTTCTTGCTTTTTTTGTATATTTTCTCTGGAAGACTTTAGGATCTTCACTTTATCCCTGTTCTCCCCTGCCACTCTCTACCCCGCCCCTTTTTTTTTTTTACAATTCATGGTGATGTGCTTGATGTAGGGGTCTTATGCATCTTCTTATATGTAGTAAGGCCTTTCATTTGGAAATTCATATTTCTCAGCTCTGAGAAAATATCTCTTCCTGTTTATTGTTGTCTTTTCCTCTCTCTTTCTGAACACCTTTTATTTGGATAATGAACCACCTAGACTAACACTTAAAATTCCTTTGTCCCCCTCTTGTCCATCCCTTGTTTTTGTTTTCCACACCCCTGCAAAAAAGGACTTACGTACTGTTTTGCAACTTGCTTTTTAAAAAACACCTCAATATAATGGGTTTCTTTTTTTATAAAGCTCTCTTTTAGTGTTTTAAACTATAAAGTGAAAATCTTTAGCTTTTATGTGAATTCATAAATTATTTCATCTTTGCCCTATTAATGATCACTTAGGTTCTTTCAACTTTTTGCCACTGCAGAAATGCTGCTTTGACCATCCTTTTACATAAACAATTGCCTTCTTATGACAGGGTTTTTGTAGGACTTTTTTGACATCAAATTCATGGGTCAGTGGGTATTTATCTGCATTTTAAATTTTAATAAATACTGTCAAGCTGCTCTTAAAAACAAAAATAAAATGGCCTTGCCAAATTATACCCAGACAGCATATAACATGGCATTTGAGATCGTGGATGCTGAAGCTTTACCGCCTGGGTTTCAATCCTGCCCCTTTCACTCACTTGCTGGATGATCTCTGCAAACCCCTTAACTTCTTTGGTTCCTCTCCTGTAAAACTGAGATAGCGGCAGCACCTCCTTGGTAAAGTAGGTGTGAAGATTCAAAAAAGTAATGTAGGTAAAGCCTATAGACTAGTGCCTGCTACAGTGCAGAGCAGTGCTCTGTTAGCTTCCCTTTACTGTTTGTGGTGGCTGGGATCTCAGTGCAAAAAGACTGCATTTTCTTCACCAGTTCTCTTTGTGGAGTTTAATGGGAATTTCTTAGGAAAGTTTTGAGAGATCTTTTAAAATTACATATTGTATTATATGTAAACTACAGGTAAAAATTTCCTAGATAAAAGTTTATTATGTTCATTGTATGCTGTTAAAATGTTTCTAGTATCTGTTTGACTTGATTTTGTTGTTCTTGTTGCTTAGCACTCCCACCAAAGGCATAGAGAACAAAGCTTTTGATCGCAATACAGAATCTCTCTTTGAAGAACTGTCTTCAGCTGGCTCAGGCCTAATTGGAGATGTGGATGAAGGAGCAGACTTACTAGGTATGGTAGTTTATTTGAAGAAGTATCATACTGTTTTAAGAATAAATTTTTGAAAATTGATGTAATTGAAAATTCTTCTAAAATGCCCCCAGTTGCCCAGTGGTATAGAATTATACTTTTAGGTAATTAATAGGAATATATTTGAGATCATGAACATTTTCAATGAAAACATCTTCACATATGGATATACCTAAAATTGAATTGCATTTAAATTTGTATTTTCAATTCATATAGTACAATTTATATGAACTCCTGCTACATTCCAAGACTAGTACTACATATAAGGAGCAAGGTGATAGATAGATGGGTACGTGCATGTCTGTGTGCGTGTGTATGTAGATGTATAGATAGATAAGTTAGCTCCTGGCTTAATAAATTGCACTAAATTCTGTTGACCTTCATTAAGAATTATAACCCTTGCTTTTTCTGAGATTTCACAGAATATTATTCTTTCTTATATCTATGGGAAATGTAGTCATTTTAGAGTTTGTGTTGTTGAAGAATACCTGATTTGAAAAGAATACTAAATTTGGTTCACCCAGTATTTGTCTGATGATATTTGCCAAATAGCTTAACCTCTTTGGGCCTTAGTTTCTTGTGTATAAAATGAAGGAAGGACTCCAGTTCAGGGGTTGGGCAAACTGTAGTTCACAAGTCAAAACCAGCTCATATGTGTGAGTAAAGTTTTATTGGAACACTAATTTACTTAATGTCTGTAGTTGCATTTGCACCACAACAGTAGAGTTAAGTAGTCTGCAACAGAGATCAAGATAGTTTATTTTACAAAGCCTAAAATATTCACCAGCTGGCCCTTTACATTTAAAAGTTAGCTGACTTGTTCTAGGTTGAGCTCTAAAGTTTCCTTGAACAATAATTATGTGATTCTGATTGATGTCAGTTAGCTTTGGTGTACCTTTCTTATAACTTCAGACCTTACAGAAATTGAAAACCTTACAGTATTCAAACACTTAGGCCTTTGGAATAGGCACTGGTCTCCAAAAATTTTTATATCTATACAAAATACAGACTACATATAATACAGACCACATTATTCTCAAAAGATGCTGTTTGTCAATTCTTATGAATGTAGATTGGCATTGCTTGCATTAATTTATGTTAAATTTACTGATTACCAGTTATGTTTTTGACTGAAGTATTTTTTGAAGGAAACACAAGTTCTGTCTAATTAGAGCTGCTCATAGTCTACCTAATAAGACAGTTTTGAAGTATATAAATAGAACTATTCTGAGTTAGACATAGACTACCACCATTAAAGTCTCAATAAAACATTGGAAGCATTTGAATGAGTTTGCATTTTGTTTATTAAAGTATCATTGATATACAGTCTTATGAAGGTTTCACCTGAATAACATTGTGGTTTCAACATTCACCCATATTATCATGTCCTCCCCTCCCTTCCAACCATTGCAGTCACTGTCTATCAGTGTAGTAAGATGCTATAGAGTCATTACTTGTCTTCTCCATGCTGTACTGCTTTCCCTGTGATCTACCTGTATTGTGATTGCGAATTATAGTGCTCCTTAATCTGTTTTCCCTCCCCACATAACCTCCCCATCTCCTCCCTTTGGTAAGCATTCTCAGGGTCCTTGGATTCCTTCAGTTTTGTTTTGTTTTTGTACTTCACAAATGAGTGAAGTCATTTAGTACTTGTCTTTCTCTGCCTGGCTTATTTAACTGAGCATAATACCCTCTAGCTCCATCCATGTTCTTGCAAATGGTAGGATTTCTTTTCTTTTTATGGCTGAGTAATATTCCATTGTGTATACGTACCACATCTTCCTTATCCATTCATCTACTGATGGAAACTTAGATTGCTTCCGTATCTTGGCTATTGTAAATAGTGCAGCAATAAACAGGGTTGTGTGTGTCTTCTTGAATGAGGGATCTTGTTTTCTTCAGGTAAATTCCTAGGAGTGGAATTCCTGAGTCAAATGGTATTTCTATTTTTAGTTTTCTGAGAAACCTACATACTGCTTTCCACAATGGTTGAATTAATTTACATTCACACTAACAGTGTAACAGGGTTCCCCTTTCTCTACATCCTCACCAGCATTTGTTGTTCCTAGTCTTTTGTATGTTGGCCATCCTAACTGGTATGAGGTGATACCTCATTGTGGTTTTAATTAGCATTTCCCTGATGATTAGTGATGTGGAGCATCTTTCACGTGCCTGTTGCCCATTCACATTTCTTCTTTGGAGAAGTATCTGTTCAGATGCTCCACCCATTTTTCATTTCGGTCATTTGTTTTTTGGGTGTTGGGGCACGTGAATTCTTTATGTATTTTGGATGTTAACCCCTTATTGGATAAGTCATTTACAAATATATTCTCCCATAATGTAGTATGCCTTTTTGTTCTGCTGATGGTGCCCTTTGCTGTACAGAAGCTTTTTAGTTTGATGTAGTCCCATTTGTTTCCCTTGCCCAAGGAGATACATTCAGGAAAAAATTGCTCATGTTTATATTCAAGAGATTTTTGCCTATGTTTTCTTCTATGAGTTTTATGGTTTCATGACTAAATTCAGGTTTTTGATCCATTTTAAATTTACTTTTGTGTATAGACTTGGACAATAATCTAGTTTCATTCTCTTACATGTAGCTGTCCAGTTTGCTCAACCCCAGTTGTTGAAGAGGCTGTCTTTTCCCCATTGTATATTCATGACTGGCTTCTTTATCATATATTAATTGGCCATATATGTGTGGGTTTATATTTGGGGTTTCATTTATCTATGGGTCTGTTCTTATGCTAGTACCAAATTGTTTTGATTACTGTAGCTTTGTAGTAGAGCTTGAAGTCAGGGAGCATAATCCTCCCAGCTTTGTTGTTCTTTCTCAGGATTGTTTTGGCTATTTGGAGTCTTTTGTGGTTCCATATGAATTTTAGAACTATTCTAGTTGGTTAAGAATGCTGTTGGTATTTGATAGGGATTGCATTGAATCTGTAGGTGGCTTTAGGCAGGATGGCCATTTTGACAATATTAATCCTTTCCATCCATGAGCATGGGATAGATTTCCATTTATTGGTATCTTCTTTAATTTCATGAGTATCTTATAGTTTTCAGAGTATAGGTCTTTTGCCTCCTTGGTTAGGTTTATTCCTTGGTATTTTATTCTTTTTGATGCAATTGTAAATGCAGTTATTTTCTTGATTTCTCTTTCTGCTAGTTCATTGTTAGTATGTAGGAATGCAGCAGATTTTGTGTATTAATTTTGTATCCTACAGCTTTGCTGAATTCAGTTATTTTAACAGTTTTTTGGTGGAGTCTTTAGGGTTTTTATGTATAATATCATGTCATTGTCAAATAATGACAGTTTTAACTTCTTCCTTACCAATTTGGATCCCTTTTATCTCTTTGTCTTGTCTGATTGCTGTGGCTAGGACCTCCAAAACTCTGTTGAATAAAAGTGTGAGAGTGGACATCCTTGTCTTGTTCTTAATCTTAAAGGAAAACCTTTCAGCTTTTCACTATTTTGTATGTTGGCTGTGGGTTTGTCAGATATGACCTTTATTCTGTTGAGGTAGTTATCCTGTATACTCATATTGTTGAGGATTTTTATCATGAATGGATGTTCAGTTTTATCAGATGCTTTTTCAATATCTGTTGAGATTATTGTGTGTTTTTTATCCTTCTTTTAATATGGTGTGTGATATTGATTGATTTATGAATATTGTAGCATCCTTGGAGTAATAAATCTGACTTCGTCATGATGGATGATCTTTTTTGATGTAGGTTTGAATTCAGTTTGCAAATTTGAGTATTTGTTGAGTATTTTTGCATTTGTGTTTATCAGGGGTATTGATCAGTAATTTGTGTGTGTGTGTGTGTGTGTGTGTGTCTTTGGCTTTGCTATTGGAGTGATGCTGGCCTCATAGAATGAGTCTGGAAGTATTTGCTCCTTTTCTTGGAATACTTTAAGGAGGACTGGCATTAGCTCTTCTTTTCGTGTTTGGCAGAATTCAGCTGTGAAGTTGTCTGGACTGGCTTTTTGTGTTTTGGGGAGTTTTTGGACTACCAATATGATTTCATTGCTGGTAATTGGTCTGTTCAGATTTTCTTTTTCTTCCTTTGTCAGTTTTGGAATGTACTTTTCTAGGAAGTTGTCCATTCTTCTAGGTTGTCCAGTTCATTGGCATACAAGTTTTCATAGTATTCTCTAAGAAGTTTTTGTATTTCTGTGGTATCCATTGTGATTATTCCTTCTTCATTTTTTATTTTGTTAATGTATATACTCTCTTTTTTTTCTTACTAAGTCTGGCTAGGGGTTTATATATTTTGTTTATTTTCTAAAAGAACTCCTTATTTCGTAGTTTTGTTTGTATTGTTTTATTCTTCTCTTTTATTTATTTCTCCTCTGATCTTTATTGTGTCCCTCCTTCTCCTAACTTTGGGCTTCATTTGGTCTTCTTTTTCTAGTTCCAGTAATTGTGAATTTAGACTGTTTATTTGTGGTTGTTTTTTTTGAAGTAAGCCTGTATTGCTATGTATTTCCCTCTTAGAATAGCCTTTGCAGCATCCCACAAATACTGAACTGTTGTATTTTTGTTTCCATTTGTCCCCATCTATTGTTTGATTTCTGTTTTAATTTGTTCATTGATCCATTGATTATTTAGAGGTACTTTGTTTAGCCTCCATTTGCTTGTAAGCTTTTTTATTTTCTTAGTGTAATTTATTTCTGCTTTCATACCATTGTGGTCTGAGAAGCTGCTTGATACAGTTTCAATCTTTTTTAATTTATTGAGGCTCTTCTTGTGGCCTAGTATGTGATCTGTTCTGGAGAACATTCCATGTACACTTGAGAAAAATGTGTATACCTCTGCTTTTGGGTGGACTGTTCTGTAGATGTCTGTTAAGTCCATCTGTCTGATCTAATCTATTGTTCAGTGCCTCTGCATCCTTGGAGTAATAAATCTGACTTCGTCATGATGGATGATCTTTTTTGATGTAGGTTTGAATTCAGTTTGCAAATTTGAGTATTTGTT